GGGGGGGGGGCGGCACACAGGTTGCACAGAGGAGGTGACGGGCGCCAGAGGTTCCCGTGGAAATGGATCGAGATCACTGGGAGGCCTCTGGCGTCTGCGGCTCCTGTGGGGAGCGGCCTCCGCCCTACGCCGCCCTCCGCCACCTGCCTTCCCGTCAGACGACCTGTCAGAGGTCGGAGCCACAGCGACTGTTGCCTGCGGCTTCGGAATGGCAAGATGGGAAAGCACAAGCTCAGGGGGGCGGAAACCATACACTCATATCGTTGGGAAAAACAAAGGCAGATGTATGAAACAAAAAGGTAGTCGTTCTTTAGCTCTAGGCTAAATTATCGACCCAATAGTGTTGCGATCATCGTCGTTTGTCGTTACACAACTGCTGGCTGAGTTAATCCAACGCAAAGCTCTGATAGCGCCTGATAGGTATGCCAGCCTTAGTGCATGCATGTACTGCGGGCTAGCCTATTCTAAGTCTTGCAGGGGCCAAGCGCCCACAATTCTCCAAATGAATCTGAGAGAAGCACTTACTTTTTCGACGTACCCTTCGGAGAACAAACTTCTTTCCTCAGTAGTTTTGCGACGCGTTTATCGAAAGACAGTAGTCGACTGCCGGTTGGTTTCATGGCCTTCAAGCATCCACGATGATGGTAACCGGCCAGGATTATAACCCAATATAAATTTCTTCCGGGGGTTTGGTTCGGAGACCGCTGCTGCAGCGCCGCCCGATAGCCTAGCCCTCCCCTCCCCTACCCGCCTCCGCCGTGCGCCGCCGGTCGGGGGGCTTCGGCCGGTCGTGCGGCGCGCCGGCGTAAATCGTGCAAAATAATTGGCTGAGCTCGTGTTCTGTCTGCAGGTGGCCGCGGGGCGTGTGGCGCGGAGGCCATGTGACTCGCCATGCTGGTGAGCGTGGGCACGACGCCCCCGCTGAGCAGCAGTGAGCTGCCCAATGGGACCGGCCTGCCCACGCTGCTGCCCACCCTGCTGCCCACCGTGCTGCTGCTGCTGCCCAGCTCGACGCTGTCCCCGGCCGTCCAGGATGCCGTCGGCGGCGGCGGTGGCGCCCCCGGCGCACACCCGGACCACAACACGACCCCGATCGTGGTGGACGACGCGGCGGCCGACGGCCGCGAGGTGTTCCCGCTCGTGTGCAAGGCGCTCATCATGGGCACCATCATCGTGGGCGCCGTCCTGGGCAACGCGCTCGTCATCATCTCCGTCTTCCGGCACCGCAAGCTGCGCGTCATCACCAACTACTACGTCGTGTCGCTCGCCATGGCCGACCTGCTCGTCGCGCTGTGCGCCATGACGTTCAACGCGAGCGTCGAGCTGACGGGCGGCCTCTGGCTCTTCGGCCCCTTCATGTGCGACGTGTGGAACTCGCTGGACGTGTACTTCAGCACGGCGTCCATCCTGCACCTGTGCTGCATCTCGGTGGACCGGTACTACGCCATCGTGCGCCCGCTGCAGTACCCCATCACCATGACCCACCGCACGGTCAGCTTCATGCTGGCCAACGTCTGGATCCTGCCCGGGCTCATCAGCTTCGTGCCCATCTTCGCCGGCTGGTACACGACCGACCAGCACCGGGCCTTCCGCAAGGTCAACCCGGACGTGTGCATCTTCGTGGTGAACCGGTACTACGTGATCATCTCGTCGTGCGTGTCCTTCTGGGTGCCGGGCGTCGTCATGGTGACCATGTACTACCGCATCTTCAAGGAGGCGGTGCGGCAGCGCAAGGCGCTCTCGCGGACCTCGTCCAACATCATCCTCAACTCGATACACCGCACGCACACGCGCCACCCGTGCCACTACTCGCACCACCTGCACCCGAGCGACGGCGAGCTGAGCCTGGCGCAGGTCTCGGCCACCACCTCGCTCGACGGCAGCCACGGCAGCCAGCCCAGCTCCCGGAACTCGTCGGCCGGCTCGACGACCTACGGCACCGCCACCATCACGGCCAAGACTGCCGCCATCGAGCTCAACATAAACGGTGAGTCTAACAAATCCCGTTCGTTATGCCGCGGTCGAGTAGAGTGGTCCTTTTCCGTCAGTTTACGTTACTTTGTCGCCTCACGCTTTTTTTTTTTATTATGGCATAAGCGTCAAATGAGAGCAATTCACAACGGAAACTCGAGCATAAAAGATTGGCCAAAAGGGGGCTTTTGGAGTTTCCTCTGACTGGCCCTCCGCCCCGGCCCTTCTCTCCCGCTCTCCATCCCTTTTCCGTTAACTTCACTTCCCACTGGCTGGGGCGGATGTGGGGTGAAGTGAGACCCGAGGCTGTGGGGTCTCCCGGAGATAGGAAGAGAGAGAGAGAGGGGGGGGGGGCGTCGGGTGACAGAAAGAGCCGAGCGGGGCGGAGGCAAGATCAGACCGTTCGGTCTTTACGTGCCCGCACGCGTTGACTCGCTAATTAAGTGCGTCTTGTTCGACTCCACAAGTTGATGCCGTTAATGTGTTAAGAGGAATTTTGTGAGCTGCGTGTAGCTCGTGCTGCAGTCCTCCGGCAATAGAGATCCTAATGGAGTGAGACAAGTAGAAAAAAAAGTTCATTTTAAAGCTATTTAAACATTAAAGGAAGTACAGTTTTACCGGACGGTTCCCCAAAATATTACCTGTCCAAGCAGAGCTACTTCAACTTGTCTGAAAAATTATTGGGCTGAGTGTTAACGAAAGAAAATGTTTTCCCTATGTTCGCAAAGAAGATGTGAATCGAAGGTCGAGACTCTAGAGAGATGTTTTTGCTGGGTTTGCTTCGCCAGTATCGTGTGCCGACTGATGGCCGCGGCCCGTCCGCGGCCCCGTCTCGCCCTTGGTTTCGACGGTGGTCCATTACAGCCCCCATGGCTCGGCCTGGCCACGCGCCCGTCACTCAGACCAGACCACTTCTCACGTTCATTTTTTTTCTCTCCCTCTCTTTACTCTCTCTCACTCCCTCGTATTATTTTTATGTCATCCATACAGAGTGACACCCCGACCGAAAATGATTGTTCGCTAAACGTTTGCTGTTTATTCGCTATCGGTACGCGGAGGGTCGCGGAAGGGACGCTAACGGGTCGTCAGGGATCGTCACTGTCCTCGTGGAGGACTGAGCTCGGGTCGCCATCGGGTCGCGGTGTTCGCTCTGGAGCGACTTCAGTTC